CTATGAATAACCATCAATATACATGACACATATGAATCATTTTATAACGATCGTACTTTTATGATAAATCTCGCATGCTTACTATGACCACAAATATATACCTAAGTATATTTTACGTTTATATGACGATAAACCTATGCTTAAACATCTATGACCTATGAATAACCATCAATATACATGACACATATGAATCATTTTATAACGATCGTACTTTTATGATAAATCTCGCATGCTTACTATGACCACAAATATATACCTAAGTATATTTTACGTTTATATGACGATAAACCTATGCTTAAACATCTATGACCTATGAATAACCATCAATATACATGACACATATGAATCATTTTATAACGATCGTACTTTTATGATAAATCTCGCATGCTTACTATGACCACAAATATATACCTAAGTATATTTTACGTTTATATGACGATAAACCTATGCTTAAACATCTATGACCTATGAATAACCATCAATATACATGACACATATGAATCATTTTATAACGATCGTACTTTTATGATAAATCTCGCATGCTTACTATGACCACAAATATATACCTAAGTATATTTTACGTTTATATGACGATAAACCTATGCTTAAACATCTATGACCTATGAATAACCATCAATATACATGACACATATGAATCATTTTATAACGATCGTACTTTTATGATAAATCTCGCATGCTTACTATGACCACAAATATATACCTAAGTATATTTTACGTTTATATGACGATAAACCTATGCTTAAACATCTATGACCTATGAATAACCATCACTATACATGACATATATGAATCATTTTATAACGATCGTATTTTTATGATAAATCTCGTATGCTTACTATGACCATAAATATATACCTAAGTATATTTTACGTTTATATGACGATAAACCTATACTTAAACATCTATGACCTACGAATGACCATCACTATACATGACACATATGAATCATTTTATAACGATCGTATTTTTATGATAAATCTCGTATGCTTACTATGACCATGAATATTTACCTAAGTATATTTTACGTTTATATGACGATAAACCTATGCTTAAACATCGATGACCTATGATTGGCCATCACTATACATGACACATATGAATCATTTTATAATGATCGTATTTTTATGATAAATCTCGTATGCTTACTATGACCATAAATATATACCTAAGTATATTTTACGTTTATATGACGACAAACCTATGCTTAAACATCTATGACCTACGAATGACCATCACTATACATGACACATATGAATCATTTTATTTCGATCGTGTTTTTACGATAAGCCTCGTATGCCTACTATGACCATAAATATATGCTTAAATATATTTTACGTTTATTTGAAGATAAACCTATGCTTAAACATCTATGACCTCTGATGGTCATCACTATGCATGACACATATGAATCATTTTATTTCGATAGTATTTTTACGATAAATTTCGTATCCTTACATGACCATAAATATGTACTTAAATATATTTTATGTTTATATGACGATAAACCTATGCTTAAACATCTATGAACTATGATGGCCATCACTATACGTAAGACATAGGAATCATTTTATTTCTATCGTCATTTTACAATGAACCTCGTATGCCTACTATTACCATAAATACTTAAATATATTATACGTTTATATGATAGTAAGCTTATTCTTAAACATCTATGATATAAATGGACATTAATATACATGACATATGTGATTAATTTTATTTCAAACATATTTTTACAATGAACCTATAAATATAAGAAAAACAACCCTTTCTAAAAATCAAAAAATATTATCCGGAGAATAATTATGCAGTGAGAACAACAGTATAAACAATTACAAAATACAATTATACAATATAAACAGCTGGAATGATTAAAGAAGTATATGCGTAAAACCAATTTCTAGCAATTAACAAAAGGTACTCATAAAAATAGTATCATAAAAGTTAATTTTGTATTCAGTACTTTAAAATATCATATGTTAATATTCATTTGTATCATTTACACACTAAATTATCGTCTATAATATAATTTTTTAGATACTTAAGAGACCAAGAGAACAAATAATACAAAGAATGCAAGTAACAAAATAACAAAAATGTTTCTCAAAAAATAAAAATAATGCTTTTCTAAAAGGCTCTCATTAATCTATAAAAAATTTACAGTCACGCAGTTTTTGTTTCTTTACAAATGAATTAATTCAGAAAAATAAGTAAAAAGAAGAAGAAAAAAACTGTATTTAAAGAGAAATAAATTAAAAAAAGTATTTTAAAATATTTTAAAATTTTGATATTTGTTGTTCGGGTTATATTATGAAAATCTTGGTCTTCTTTTTAAATACAAATTTGTTTATATAGACCTACCTTTTTAACCTACCTTAAATTAGAGAAAGCAGAACTTGATTTTTAAATAACTATTCCTTAAATGATTTCATTAATATTACAAGGTATGTTGTTAATGTCTTTTACACTAGCTAGTTTTTTTTATATATTTGTTTCATGTGTTTAATTAATTCATTAGCTTTTAATTGTTTCATTTATTGATTTATTTTTGAGTCGATATTTACACTATAACCGAAAATTTTTATCACCTAGACAATTTTTGTCAATTGACTATAGGTACAACATACAATATATAAAATATTTATAAATATCATCTTCTCATCTCATCAGAATCTGAAATTTGTGTTCTTATTGTATGCATATTATTCTATTTTTGTTTGATACGTCAATTTTTAACATCCAACTGACCTTAAAATCATCACTCATTGCGTATTGTGCTAAAGCAGTTAAACAGTATGGTCCTTAATTAGCACATTTTATTTTATAATCGGTGCTGACCCAATTTCAACTATCAAAGTTCACCTCCATAACTTTGTAATTTCGAACCCAACCCAGAATACAAGGTAACTCCTGGATCAAGCATTAGGACAAATTCGCCTTCTCGGATAACTTTTGCTGTAACTAACCTGCATTTACGTTACGTGAAGAGGAAAATCATGAACACCTTCCACGGTTATCTCGAAGGCAAGGAGATTCTAACCCGTGATCTGTATACCATTGAGGATATTTTACATCAGTACATTGGTGGGTACGAGCCAAGAGCAGAATTCGTATCAACAAGCCATTGCTGGGATTCGAACCTGGGTCAACTTATTGTGAGGCGTATGCTCTATTCCCTGAGCCACCGCTGTTTTCTTTAGTTAGTTTAACTAAATGCTGAGCACGTTGAACAGCGATGATGCAATGAACAGGCATGGAGTTGTCCTTTTAAGAAAGATTCGATCTCAGCCCATCCAGCTTCAAATCGATGTACCAGCTAGTTTTGGAAGTAAAAACAGCTGTGATTAACCCAATTACGACCTATAGACAACTTTTTGAACACACATCTGCAATACACACTAACAAACCGATCCATTTAAGAGGTACACCAATTCATCTTGATAACTGTAAAGTTTTGATGTATGTGTTATTGACCTTTGAAGCAATCTTTTGTAATCGATCTGTTTCACGCATATTAAGCGGACTTTTGCTCTCAAGTACTGAATTTCAGCTAAGTTTGACTCCTTTTCTATGCTGTGACCCCTGTGACACTCTGGACTTTGAATTTTAACGCGCTTCTTTAGAGGATATGAGAAACGCTATTCTCTGATATGTTTTTTTCTTCTTTCTACTCAATTTACTATCACCAATTAAGAGATGACCTCACTGAAAACAACCTGACTGAGTGCTATCTCGTGATTGCACAACAGTAATAAAAATTAAATATCTCCCACCCCCAATAAATGAAAGGAGAATTTTCGTTTCTCTCAGAATGAAAGTAGAGAATAAACAAGTAAATGAAAAATGAATAAATGTATTTTGGTACAACCTCACATGGACTATGCATTGCCAAACGCAATTTCTGAAATAGAAACATCATTTTCGTGAGGGGAGGAGGAACTGTAAAATTGCTCTTACATTTGTGCGGAAAAAAAAGGTAAAAATCTTTAAAGACTTTAATTTATGGTACACACTCAACAGAATCAATTGTCATGTTGTTCCTCCATTCGTTCAGAAACGAAGTCTTAATTAAAAGTAATTTTTAGCTTGTGCTCAGCGTTGGTATTTAAAAACCTTTCAGGAAATACAATGGAAATAGTTTCAAGAAGGAAGTTCAAAGTTCAAAATTAACTTTTTTTTTAAAAAATAATTTAAAAATATTCTTTTTTTAAAAAAATAAAAATTAAGAAATTTTTATTTAAAATTAATTAACAAACAAGTTATCTAAAAAAAAAAGGTTGTTTTATTTTTACATACTCTGAATTTCTTTTATTAACGCTGCTTAAAATTTGTTTTCATTCGGAGAAATTTTCTTACACCTAATTGTATACCCACTGTAATGAATTCCAAATCAAATTCCGGTAAAAAGTTGCGACACTCAGTGCCGGTACTTTTTACCGTAAAATCCATTTCTACCAACATGTTAAGGAACAAAAAATCTTATGTACCGTAATTTTTACAGTAATAATTACAGTAAAATATCTGAATCACTCAAAATTAAAATTACGATTTTATGGTAAAATGGTAAAAATAGATTTTATGGATCCATTTTTAGAAAATATATAAAACAAGAAACGAAAATATTGCTCAAACCAATGGAAATAATGAAATTCCGAAATCATTTGAATGTCGAAAAGAATTATTTTATTTGTGTGTATTATTCTAAACACACTTAAGGCGATATTACTTAATTCTAACGATTCTTTATCATTTTCTAAATAAACATTTAAACTTCACATTGAAAAAAATTAGTTTCTTCATTTTCACAATTGTAATAGTTTAAACATGGTAATAAGAAAACGATTCCCAAAATAAATATTTATGAAATCGTTAGTTAAAAAATTTCACATCTTAACGTTATTTTTTCATGTGTATTAATTATTGTATTAAATTTTTAAGTCTTACATACATTCATAAAACTAATTTTTGCTCATTTTCAGATTATCGGAGGTTCAACCACTTTTAGATACGTTCCCAGATGGACGTCCTCCGGATCCGGACATTCTCAATGACGCTGGTTGTACCTGTGATGATTGTGATTTACCTCATCATGTCTCTTCAAAGGAAGAGGTGCGCCATCTAGTGAACGTTACAAAAGAATTTTTACTTTATCTTCCCAAACCAGCCATAATTACAATAGCCAGGTGAGTATATAACTAAGATTCACAGATTAAAAAAAATAAAATAAAATATTAATTATTCCTAATTATCAAGTACTGTAAGTCATTTTGCTCACGCTATTTTGAAAATTAAAATAATTTAAGGGGTAGGATAAAGATTGCCTTAAAATTTTAATAAACTAAATATAGTTTTAGTTGCAAGGTTATTTAAATAAATAATAATATTAATTATTTTAGTAAGAGTCTGTAAAAAATACATAGTATACCAGTCACAATTATGATTTTTATAGTGCATATTTTTAGTATTATAGATCTGTTTAGTAAAAAATTACTTTTATATAAAAATTTTAAAGCAATTTAAATACTCTATTCAAAACTTGCCATTTTTACATTTAACATAAATTTTTTTTTAGAAAATAGGAATTTTGTTATGAAAAATCATACTTTAATTATCGACAATCTTTTTTTTTTATTATGAAGTATGATGAATCATCTTAATAATCTAGATATAAATCATATTTAATAGAGAAATCAAATTTTTGTTAAAAATTCTCAAGATTTTACTAGGATCTCACTTAATTTTTTTTAAATAATCATTCTTTTCTTCAGAATTATCATAGTTTTGTTATCAGCCCCTTAATTATAATAATAACCATCATATTTGATACTAAAAGTTCTAATTTTTTCAGAAACCATCTTAAATTATTAGGAACAATCAATTTTTCTGAAAAAATGAAATTTTTGTCAGAAACAATCATACATATTGTGAAAACTATTATAATTTAGTTAGAAGCAATCATATTGTGAAAGCTATTATAATTTTTTATGAGCAATCATATCTATTCTGAAAGCTATTATAATTTTGTTGGAAGCAATCAGACATTTTTCCAAATATCATAATTTGTCTGAAGAATCATACTTTTGTTAAGAACAATAAAAATTTTACGAAGACTACTAGATAATATATCAAAATTTTGTTTAGAAATTCTCAACTAGCTTTACCTTATATTTCTTATTAAAATCAATGCAAATTACAAGTTATAGATATTTCTTAAGATTTTCAATAGGTAATAAAATATCCTACATACTAACTCTCAGTACGTCATTGTAAAATGTTCTTTAAAAGCAAAATATCAAGAATATAACGGGTAAATAAGAACAATATATAATAATAATAAAACAATCATAATTGTTTTACTAATAATCACGGGAAAAATTTATTCTATCAAGAACAATTATAATCATGAGAAAGATTAAAATTCTGTTGAAAACAATCATAATTTTATTAAAAACGATCATAAAATTTGTTTCGAAAAATCTTATTTTTCCAGAAACAACTAAACGATTTGATAAAATCTGCCATAAGAACAATCATATTTCTTTCTAGTATCATACTTTTGTTAAGAACAATCATACTTTTGTTAAGAACAATCGTACTTTTGTTAAGAACAATCATACTTTAAGAACAATCATACTTTTGTTAAGAACAATCATACTTTTGTTAAGAACAATCATTCTTTTGCTAAGAACAATCATACTTTTATTAAGAACAATAATTCTTTTATTAAGAACAATCATATTTTTGTTAAGAACAATCATACTTTTGTTAAGAACAATCATACTTTTGTTAAGAACAATCATACTACTTTTGTTAAAAACAATCATACTTTTGTTAAGAGCAATCTCACTTTTAATAAGAACATTCATACTTATGTTTAGAACAGTTATACTATGTTAAGAACAGTCATATTCATGTTAAGAGCAATCATACTTATGTTAAGAACAGTCATAATAGTTCCTAACGAACATACCATGTACTTAGAAATCATAATTTTGTTCAGAAAAATCTTAATTAGTCTTACCTTATCAAAAACAAGTTCTCTGTCAATTCTTAATAATCTTCTAGATGGATCATTCAGGCTCATGGTTTCAAGTTCTAAAATACCGAACATAATAATTCACAGTACATCATTACAGAATGCTCTTTAAGACCAGAATATCATTGATAACGGGCTATCGGTCACTTAATTGGACACCTTAATCGGATATGTAGCTTTCAGACGGTTACAGATAAAGAGAACACCGCAAAGGGGTGGGCGAGGATCGACGTGAATTCGATTATTAATGAATTTTGATGGCATTATTATAGCGGAGGCAGGGGATGGACCTGGAAGAACCTTCCTAGTTAATTGACCGTTGATCCATGCCACGATGACCAGCGGTGGACAAAGAGCAAGTGGAGGAGGGCGTTGGTGGACATCGTGATCTGCTTTAATTAAGAATTAAGGCTTTCTGGTGAAATGATTTTGACGATGTTATGAACAAGCGATTAAATGACATGATGTTTGGCATTCTTAATGAATTACTAGTTTTGAATTACACAAATATCTAAAATGTAACTAAAAATTATACACAGCTAGATGGAAATAAGTAAGTAAAAAATGAACAATACGCATAATTAAGATTTTCTGTAGAAATATAATTGTTTTTTACATTTTTAAAAGAAGATTTTCTATTTTTTTGAAAAATTTTGTTCCTCTTTTGTTGACATTTGATTTGTTTTAATTTAATGACCTACGCAAGAGAGGTTTTTGTTCGTGGAAATGATGCCACTAAAAATGTAAAATGTTTGAGTCTGATAAGAAACAAGCAAAACAGAAAAATTGAATTTATGCTATAAGGTTTTATTTTTTATTAAGAAGGCAGTGATTAGAAATGCACACATACTCGTAATTCAAACTAATGTTATTTATAAAAAATAAATTAAAAAAGACTATATAGCTTTTCAATTAAGAAAAAAAAATTCTTTAATTTATTGTATGTAAATACCCATATCTACAAAGTCATTTCATTTAAATAATTTTAATTTAATGACCTACGCAAGTTAGGTTTTTGTTCACAGAAATCATGCCGCTAAAATTTAAAAAATTTTTGAGTTTGATGAGAAACAAACAAAATAAAATAAAAAAATGAATCCATAAAAATAAGGTATCTGTATAAAATGAGGTTTTACTTTTTATTAAGAAGGCAGTAATTAGAAATATATACATACTCGAAGCTCAAACTAGTGTTATTTATATATATATGCATAAAAAAAAGATTAGATAGCTTTTCAAATTTAAAAAAAAAAAATCTGAAAATACTCTTTAATTTATGATATCTAAATACCTATACTTCATACGTCATTTCATTTAAATAATTGTCATTTAATGGTCCAAACAATGGCGGTTTTTGTTCATAGAAATAATGCCACGAAAAACGCACAATGTTCAAGTTTGGTGTGATATAAAAAAATAAAAAAACACTGCATTGGGATTTCATTATTTAGTAAGAAGGCTGTAATTAGAAATGCACATTAACTCGAATTTCAAACTAGTCAATTCAGTAGAATCGGAGCTACTAACCCTTGAATACTGTCAGTTTAATTTTAACCGTACTGTATGCTCTTACAAAAGAAAGAGCAATAATTATTAGTGCAAGAAATGTTTCCATAAAGCTGTTTTATAAAAAAATTAAATAAACTATTTGACATAAAAAATATTAAGAATACTTATGATCAAAAATAGCAGTTTACTGTGCACACTAAACATTTTTTATTTACTAAATTATTGCTCTTTGCTTGGAAAAAGAGATAATTCGGCTAAACAGCTAAATTTCTGAATCATATTATTTAAAAATATCTACATTTTATTAATTATTTTTACCAAACCAGTTTAAGTTAAGTATTGTCTTAAATTAAATTAGACAGAAATCGTTCAACTCAGACAACTAAATAAATTAGACAGAATAGCTGAACTAGGATATGGCATAGTGTCTCTATTTAAAGAACCTTTGGAATCCTAAAGGTTAAAAACCTAAAGGACTCTTGTTTTGTCACCCAGATGGTTATTTGAAAAACTGTTATTAGAAGAAAAAACTGTTATTTGATTAAAAATTAATAAAATCGTTTTGTCAGTATTGTGGTCGGTGCGAGCTAATAGTAGAATTCACGTGACCAGTCAACTGTGGAATTCAAATCCGGGGGATCTTATTGGGTGCTCAGTCCCTTGAGCCACGGCAGGCTTTGGTGAAACTATAAAGAAAAATCTTAAATTGTCTTTATCTTAAAAGTCTTATTTATTGTTATCATATTTAAATGTAAAAACTTTCAAAACTATAGCGACTTACCCTGAGGAAAATGTCTGACAATTTAACTTACCGAAAAATTATATCAAAAAAGTGATATTAATCATGTAGTATATCGATTCAACAATTAAGTGGAATCGCAATTTTATTTATACGATGCTCAAAATCATAAGATAATTACTGAAAAGTAAGAGTAAATATCGAAAATAATCGTAAAATGAGTTGGAAAAAAAAGATAAAAGTTATCTTATTATAATTCTAATCTGCATGGTAAAAACTAAATTTTGAATTAATTCGATTATGGTTATGGTGAAAAATGGAGAAAAACTATTTTGTGAAAAGCAGCTTTAGACCAGTGGTTCTTAACCTTTTTAAGCCGCGACCCAAATTTGAGATATATGTTCATGTCGCGACCCAAAAAAAAGTCAAAATTAGGCTGAGTAAGCCACAATGACTTCTTCTAGGAGGTGTTGGTATTACTTATTATTTGGTGTATTACTAACTTTTTTGGTTCGACTCAGCGTGACCCAAGAAATATGCTTCGCGACCCAATTTTGGGTCGCGACCCATAGGTTAAGAACCGCTGCTTTAGACCGTCAAATATATGGCAAAAGTCTGTAAGAAAAAAAAAAACAGGACTTTTTTGCAGCTTGCATAGAAGAAATTAACATAGAAGATTAAACATAGAAGAAATTTGTATTCATCATTAAACAGTCTTTTTTTCCCTGTAGAATTTACTGCTATTTTTCACAGTGTATCTTTATAATTTGAATATTATCTTTAAGCAAATCAGCACCTCGAATCAATCATTCACATAATAACATCATATGCTTATTATTAAATAAACATAATGAAGCAATGCAATTATATAATTCTGGTAATTTATTGCATTTCAGATCTAGCCGTGATGATTACTGCCCACCGGAAGATGTTGATTTCATCCAAGATCTTGTTCTTGAGATGTTAGGAAATATTTATGGGAACATCGAGATCACCAGAGATTATGAAACAGATGAAGATATTGATCCTCACGAGCACTCTTAATTAAAGAATCGAGGAAATTATCCTCATCTGCATTCGTGGTAATTTTTATTACCACTTATCTTCTTTAACTCGCCAATAACCTTCAAGTTCACTAGTACACTTACGACGAGGCACATATTTTTATAACATTATCTTCAGTAAAAATATTTGTAACCGTTTTTCCCACTTGTTTTTAGGTTGTTAGTACTAAACGATACGAAATTATTTTTTGTATTCATGTTTACTTTATATTATATTTTTAGCTCGATAAAAAATAATGTAAAATAATGCCCCAATAATTTTATAATTTGTGATTCTTTTTAGCTATTGCACTAAAAATTTTATGTGTATAATAATGTGGTTATATTATTTTGAAATAATGGAATCTAATTAGACAATTTCTAAATTTTTGAAGCACAATGTCGATATTGGCTCATAATTTTTCAGAAATTAAGTTTTTATTTTTAAGATTACGGAAGATACAATATTTGTTGTTAATCAATATTATATTTTTCATTAGATAGAAATTTGAATAATATTATTTCATAAAAATCTGTTCATGTTAAAGAAATTTAAATTGGTTAAATTTAAAAAAGTGTTTCTCCGTACGCATAACGGTGAGAATCACAACGCATACGTAAAAAAATCACAACGTTCGTACAACGAACAAAATCACGTGTGTACCGGTTTTTTATTTATATTCAGTTTAAAAACGGACATTTTTACCATAAATTTGTATAGCGAAGATTGATATATCTTGAAACAATTTTAATTACTTATTCTTTATGCAGAAATACCGAATAAGTCAGAAAGTTTGAATTCAAATAACTTTGAAATTTCGTAGTAAGAGCATTAAAAGCTTGTCTACTAATATTGTTTGTTTGTGAATTAATTTTGTAATTCTCGCCAAAAAAATTTTAAGTTAAAAAAATTAGGCCAAGGTATAACATAAGTATTGTACCTTAGACCGGTTGAAGTTACAGCACTATGTGCATTACTAAATATACTTTATTGTGTATATTACAATATACAATAATATGTCGATATACATCGTGCATCATCATGTACAGTGCTCAAAAAAGGACCTCCCTGAATAACTTTTGATCTAATAATCGAATCTGGTCATTTTAGTACTCATTTGTAATGGTTTGAAAAGTGACTTCAAATATGCTAATTAATTAGCGAAGACGATATTTTAAGTTACGAAATCAGACACAGAAAGGTACTTTCTCTGAATAAACATAAATTTTTTTTTGACAGATTCGGATTTCTGACCCCCAAAATATAGGGGGTAGTCGCAATGTGGAAAATATGATCCTAATAGTTTGGTCAGGAGAGCGATCCGAAGTTTGGACTCCTTAATGCTAATTTTATATTTTGCGTATTTCTCCATATCTCAAGATCTTTTTAGTCAAATTGAAAAAATTTTGAATACAATTATAAAATTTGTTTGCAAAAAATAAATCTTAGTAAATATTTATTATTTTTTATTATTTTATTTGTTAATAGTCGAAAAAATTTTTCTGATAATTTTTAAGCATCGAATTTTACATGACAAAATACAAAATTTGAGCGATATTAGTTGAATTATTCCTCAGAAATCGACTTCTAAAAAAAAGTCGTATATTTAAAACTCGATTTCTATGGAACTATTCAATCAATGTCGTTCAAATTTTGTATTTTGTCATGTAAAATTAGATACTTTAAAATGATTTAAAAACTAAGTTTTATACCTTGTAATTCGCAATGTTTTCGACTATTATTAAATAAAATACTAAAAAATAATAAATATTTACCAAAATGTATTTTTTGCGAAATCTTTGGATAAACGAATTTTATAATTGTGGGCAAAAATTTTTCAATTTTGCTTGAAAAGTTCTCGAGATATGGCGAAATACGCAAAAAAGGAAATTAATATTATTGGATCGAAATTTTGGATAGCTTTCCTGACCAAACTATTAGGACCATATTTCTCAGATTGCAGCTAACCCAATCGGTATTTCGGTAAATTCGGTATTTTGGGAAATCTGAATCCGTCGAAAAAAGGTATGTTTATTCAGAGAAAATGCATTTCTGTGTCTGATTTCGTAACTTAAAATATCGTCTTCACTAATTAATTAGCATATTTGAAGTCACTTCTCGAACCATTACGAATGAGTACTAAAATGACCAGATTCGATTATTAGATCAAAATTTATTCAAGGTGGTTCGTTTTTTTTATTTTTTTTTTCTGTACTGTACAAGATTAAAGTATTTTTTCAGTGCACACGATACTTTGTATCTAGGCTGAATTCTTACTGAAATTTAATACTCTTTATTCTGAATTGAATTGATTAGAGATTGAAGAAATAATTTAGAATAAAGAGAAATTAAAATTTGAATTTTTGTCTGAGTAATGTGGAAAGAAATACAAATAAAGGTAAATTCTAGACAAAGCAAATGAAAATGACTAGCCTTGTAAAATAAGCTATAATGAAATAAGCTAATAATAATAATAATAATAATTGTTCAATCACTAGACATAATCAATTCTATGTAGAAGAAATGTGCTAAATTTCAATATTATTTTCCAAAAAAAAAAATTTTTTTTTTTGCTTCAAAAAATTTATTTTAGTATACATTGAGATTAATTTATTAACGTCTCATCGTGCATCAGCTAATATTTTTCGAACAGTAAATATTTAAAATGTTCAGTTTATAAGAGAATGCATTGGTGACTTTACTTAAATTACTTGGTAACAATATAATGCAATGTATTTACTGTTTTTTTTTTAATTAGATTTTTTAAATTTACAATAAATTATTACACCTGAACAGTTAAAGTTAACAAGACAATTCAACTCAATAATTCATTCGATAGAGCCAAGAGTTCTTGCTTTTAATTAAAAGAAATTCCGAAAGATGGCGCTTTAAATCTTTTCTACTTTTTTTCTGTTACGTCTTGATTACGACGTGCAATGGAGGCTGACGGTGGTTGATTAAAAAATAATAAAACGTGTTTTTCATTCATTGATAGATTTCGAAAAATTGTGACATGATTTCAAATGTTTTCTTTGAATCACTTAATTAGTTAGTTCTTGGGGCGCCATCTGTTAAAATGATCATGAATTAAAAACAAAAACATTGGGAGAAAAACTTATTCTCTTTCACATGTAATTGCTGAGAGAATTTTTTTAATCTTAATAGTGTTATAAATTTTTAAAAACCGTCTAATTCGGAACGCCTTTTATTTGTTTTTTAAGTTGCATTAATTGTGTAATTTATTCAAAAAGTTTATTAAAGTGCTAGTTGAATATAAAATAAGTTTATTTGAAATAGATAAAATCATTAATGATGAATTCGCAATAGACATTATCTATATTTTAGATATTATCTATAACTAGATTTACTTCCTTTACGTTTTCAGAAATCGCTTTTCAAGTCTAATTTATTTTATAACCGCATTCGAACTTTTCTTAACCCAATTTTCTTATGATGAGGTTTCTTAAGAAATTGAATCTGAAATACTCTGTAATATGTTGTAAATTTGTAAAACACATATTTTTAGATTTTATCGCCATTATTTAAAAAATGTTGGAATTTCTGTGTCTTGAATGTTTTCACATTTCTAACATCATGGTTGAACAAATAATTTGAGTGTACTTTTCCATAATAAAAACTATTTTGTCCCAATTTTGATTTATTCATTTATTCTATGATTTGCTTTTAATGTGTGGTTTAAATAAGTGTGAAACAAAGTTTTTTCATTTTCGCTTTCTATTAATAGGTAAGTTTCATCATTCTGAACTTGATAAGAGTTGGTACGTAGCTTTATTTGTGAATAACTAAAGCTAATTTGAACTACTATTCTAATGTATTAAAAGAAATAATCTGCATTTATGATTAAGAAAGAACAGAACAGTAGAATCTCTTTAAAAAAAATTTAACAATTTTGTTTTCCATTTAATAATTTTCTAATAATTAATATAATAATAAAAATAATAATTTTTTACAATTAATAATTTTCGAATTTCAAATTATCTGAATAATTTTTTTTTTTTACTTTTATTAAAATTACATACAAGCATTGTTTCTAAAGATTAAGTTGGATTATATATAAATAAGAAAGACACAATGGGGAAATTTTTTAGATGACAGATACTTTAATTCTGTTATAAAATTATTTGTATTTTGAAAGTACCGTATTCATTTCTAAGTATTTGTTCAGTTTGACGACATGTAGCTTTTAGAACTGCCCCAAACTGTTATGACGATCCTGTTCGAAAAAAAACTGAAAAGTTTAATTGGTTTTCATCTTAAGAGACGAGGGGAGACATTCCTTTCTTCGCTTTTTTTCTAATTGGTAGCAATATAATACAATTAAATTTTAGCCCATGAGATTTCTTGATAGTAGACTTGCTTCCCTGCAATATTTCAATTGAGAATCTTATTTGTTACATCCTTAAAATTTCCAATAATGTGCCAAATAGAAATTTATAAATCCCCGAAAAAAATTTCTGTATTTAGCTTACAACTACAAATCTACAAAGGACCGATTAAATTGCATTTTAATGACCATCAGATGGCATTAAGTTAATGAGTTCCCAAGGTAATTTTGCTTTTTGTTGGCGCTGACGCTGTTAAAAAATCAGCCTAAGTTATTGAAATCAACGAATTAAAGTATAGAGTAAAAATGTAATGAGTCGTGATGCTTTTATTGTTGTTATGTTGTTTAGAAAGATAGTTCATGTGTTTTTTTTCCTAAACTACTGCTCGAGTATATAATATCTGCCTGACGCATAAGTTCAGTTTAATTATTTGTACTTTAGCTTAAATTTCTTTTACGTTAATGAACAAAAACAGTTCATACCTATAACAAGTTTAATAAAGAAATTATCTTCGTATATTAATATTTTTTTAAATAGGTAAATATATATATTTTAAATTCACGTACGTTGATGCAATGATGCATGCACGCATGTTGATGCAGGTACGCAATGATGTACGTTGTAAGTAAGATGCATGTAGTAAATGTACGTAAGTAGATGTCTGTAAGTAAGATACACGCATAATTTGAAGGCAAATAAAATGCACGTAAGAAAAATATCATTCTCTTCATTTAAATCTTTCCATATACAGCAAATATTTCCCTATAAATTGATATAATTGATTATAAATCTAACACTTTTGCACTATAAAGGGGATATTTTCTATTATATTTTTACTAAAAACAGGGAATATTTTCCGTTACATAGCGAATAATCCCCCCCCCCCTGTAAAGATGACGGATATTTTACTCAATTAAATGATATTATTCACTATAAACTAAAATA